AATATGATATTTCAGAAAGCAAACAATCTAGGATTACAACCAAGGATAACCTAGCCAACAAAACTGAGTTTAATACTTCAGGATGAAAAAAAAAGGATATTTAATGAAATAGATGACTTTTAAGCATTCCTGATGAAAAGACCAGAGTTGAATAGAAATTTTGACTTTGAAATACAAGACTCAAAAGAAGCATAAAAAGGTAAACATGAAAGAGAAATCATAGGGGACTCAATAAGGTTAAACTGTTTACATTCCTATATGGGAAGAAGATGCATGTAACTCCTAAGAATTTTATTAGTATTAGGTCAATTAGAAGGAGTTTACATAAACAGAGGGTGTGGCAAGGAGTCAGTTATGTTGGGTTGATGTTAAAAAAATGGATAGGTAGGGCAGCTAGGTGGTGCAGTAGATAGAACACCGGCTCTGGATTCAGGAGGAGCTGAGTTCAAATCCAACCTCAGACACATAATACTAGCTGTGTGACTCTGGGCAAGTCACTTAACCCCATTGCCTAACCAAAAAAAAATGAATAGGTGAGAAAAAGGAATGCACTGAGATAGAGAAGGGAGAGGAAAAATGGGAAAAATTATCTCACATAAAAGAAGCATACAAAGAAGATCTTTTACGCTGGAGGGAATTGGGGACAGGCAATACTTCAACCCCACTGTTATTTGAATTGATTCTCTCTCTCTCTCTCTCTCTCTCTCTCACACACACACACACACACATGCACACATGCTCAGTTGGGTATAGAAATCTATCTTACCCATCTGGGAACTAGGAGGGGAAGGAGATAAGAGAAAGGAGGCTGATGAAAGGGAGAGTGGATTAAGGGAGGTATTGGTCAGAAGCAAAACAGACTTTTGAGGAGGTACAGGGCAATAAGAGAGAAAGGATAAGCAGAAGAAAATAGGTTGGAGGGAAATAGACAGTACTTATAAGTGTGAATGTGAATGGGATGAGCTCACCCATAAAACAGAAGCTGATAGCAGAATGTTTTATAAACCAGAATCCAACAATATGTTGTTTACAGGAAAGATACTTGGAACAGAAAGACACACACACAGAGTTAAAATAAGGGGCTCGATCAGAATCTATTATGCTCCAGCTAAAGTAAAAAAGGCAGGGGTAGCAATCATGAACTCAGACAATGAAAAAGCAAAAATAGACCTAATTAAAAAAAAAGAGCAGGGAAACTACATCTTGCTACCATAGACAATGAAGTAATATCAAGACTATACACACAGCTACCAAATGGCAGAGCATTCAAATTCTTAAAGGAACAGTTAAATGAGCTACATGAAGAAATAGAAAGTAAAACTATACTAGTAGAGGACCTCAAATCACCCCTCTCAGAGCTAGATAAATCCAAAATAAATAAGAAAAATGTTACAGAGCTGGATAAAAGCATTACTTAGGGGGGATATTTGCATCTCTACATGTGTATATCTTTAAAAGAGAAATGGAGCATATCAATGAATTGGGTATGCAACTAAAAAAAAAAACCAGAAAAAGAGCAAATTAAAAATCCTCAATTGAACACCAAAATGGAAATCCCCAATATCAAAGGAAGGATTAGCAAAATTAAGAGTAAAAAAAAGTTGAGCTAATAAATAAAACTAGAAGTTTTTTTTTATGGTTTTATGAAAAAAAAAGATGTCATTAGTTAATTTGATTTTTAAAAGAAAGAAGAAAACCAAATTACCAGTATCAAAAATGGAAAGGGTGAGAGTACCACCAATGAATATGAAATTAAAGCAATTAGGAGTTATTTTACCCTGTTTCATATCAGTAAAACTTACAATCTAAGTGAAATGAATGAATATTCACAAAAATGTAAATTTCCCCAAATTAATAGAAGAGGAAACAATATTTAAATAACCCTATCTTAGAAAAAGAAATTGAACAAGCCATAAATGAACTCCCCAACAAAAAGTCCCAAGGACCAGATGATTTTACAAGTGAATTCTACCAAACATTGAAGGAAAATTAATCCTAATTCTATATAAACTATTTGAAAAAATAGGTAAAGGAGGAATTCTACCAAATACCCTTTATGACACAAATATGGTTTTGATACCTAAACCAAGGAGAGCAAAAACAAAATAAAAGAAAACTCTAGGCCAATTTCCCTAATGAATATCGATGCAAATTTTTAAATAAAATACTGTCAAGAAGATTACAACAGTATATGACAAAGATCATCCACTATGACCAGGTGGGATTTATATTAGGCATGCAGGGCTTAGTGTAACATTAGGAAAGCTATTAGCATAATTGACCATATTGATAACAAGATCAACAAAAAACATTATATTCTCAAAAGATGCAGAAAGAGCTTTTGACAAGAGACAACATCTATTCCTATTAAAAATATTAGGGGCAGCTAGGTGGTGCAGTGGATAGAGCACTGGCCCTGGAGTCAAAAGGACCTGAGTTCAAATCCAGCCTCAGTCACTTACTAGCAGTGTGACCTGGGCAAGTCATTTAACCCTGTTTGCCCCCCCAAAAAAACTACTAGAAAGCATAGGAATCACAGAACCTTTCTTAATGTGATAAGTAGTATCTATCTAAAACCAAGAGCAAATGTTTTCTGTAATAATGATAAACTTGAAATCTTCCCAATAAAATCAGGGGTGAAGCAAGAATATTCCTTATCACCACTATTATTCAACATTGTGTTAGAAATGCTAGCTATAGCATTAGGAGAAGAAAAAGAAATTGGAAGAATAAAAATAGGCAATGAGGAAGCAAAATGATCCCTCTTTGCAGATGATATGATACTTAGAGAACTCTAGAGAATCAACTAAAAAACTAGTTGAAACAATAGCAGCAGAATCACAGGATATGAAATAAAGCTACATAAATCATTAGTATTTCTATATATTACCAAAAAAACCCAGCAGATAGAAATAGAAAAAGAAATTCCATTTAAGGTAATTACAGACAATATAAAATACCTGTGAGTTTACCTGCTGAACAAGTTGTGGTATATGATTGTGATGGAGTACCATTGTCATATAAGAAATGATAAGTAGGACAGTTTCCAGAAAAACCTGTGAAGACTTGTATAGACTGATGCAAAGTGAAGTGAGCAGAAACAGAAAAATACTGTACACAGTAACAGCAATATTGTAAGGCTTATCAACTGTGAATGACCTAGTTACTCTGATCAAGGCAATGATGCTAGACAATTCCAAAGAACCCATGATGAAAAATGCTATCCACCTACAGAGAGAGAACTCTAAGCGTGGATTAAAGCTTGCTTTTTTCACTTTCTTTATGTTTCTATGTTTCTTGCTTTTTTTTTTTTTTAACAATATGGCTATGGGGTCCTGATTGGGAAAAAAGCCCTAAAATACAGTAGTAAATGATAAGCCATAAAAACTTAAACTCTGTGAAAAGTGGAAGCCCAGACATGGTTACCTGTTAGAAATCACAACTTAGATACTAAATCATAACTTAGACACTGAGTTATAACTTAATACACTATGACCTTTGAAAACCAAAGTAAGAATATCTTAACCAATATGTGACTGGGACATCATCAATACACAAACTTATGGTTGGGTATAACACTGGCCTAACTCTCAAGCTCATTACTAAGCAGAAAACCAAAAATATCCCCCAAGCAGTAGTACTGTACTCTCTAGCTCCTCCTTGTCTGTTTTTTATAATTACCACGTGGATTTTTGGGGGTTCTTAGAAGGAATCCACTAAACTGTCTGCCCAGCAGCCCAGACTGAAGTTTGCCCCTGTTTGAAAGAATTCATAATGATTGATTAAACTACTACCTATAATCAATCTAGAGCTCCTTGGCTTCTTCCTTTGGTATCAAAAGAATACTTCATGGTCATGGGGGAGGTAAAGGGTTCCCCAGCCAGGGGAATTCTAGACCTTATAATGGCTAATATGGAAATATGTTTTGTATGACTTCACATGTATAAATGATATTATATTGCTTGCGTTCTCAATGGATGGGGGAGGGAGAGAATTTAAAACTCAAAATTTTTAAAAATGAATGTTAAAAGGAAAATAAAAATATAGCCTAATGGTTCCCTATTATTTCCAAGATCAAATGTCATTTAAAACCCTCCATAGCCTGGTCCCTTGCTCTCTTCCCAGGAACCTTACACTTCCTTCCACATGCTCTATAATCCAGCTGCACGAGCCTACCTGCTGTTCCTTGAAAATAAAACTGCATTTCCTGTTTTTAGGCCTTTGCATTGGCTGTCCCCTGATACCTGAAATGCTGTGCCCTCTCACACCCACCTTTTAGTTTCCTGGCTTTCTTCAAGATTCAGTTTAATTCTCATCTTCTGCAAAAGGCCTTTCCCTAATCCCCCAAGTGCTAACACCTTTCCCTTTCACCCTCTTTTACTCAGTGTGTGTGTGTGTGTGTGTGTGTGTGTGTGTGTGTGTGTGTCTGTGGGGGCGCAGCACGAATGTGTGTGTGTACTTATATATGTATATATTTATGCATACATACACACATGTATATGTATTTTGCATGTATGTAGCTATTTAAGTGTTGCTCCTTGAGTGCAGGGACTATTTTTGGCTTCACATCTTCTAGAACAAAGCAAATTCTTAATAATTGCCTTTTATTTATTTATTTTTTTTGGCTAGGCAATGGGATTATGTGACTTGCCCAGGGTCACACAGCTAGTAAGTGTTAATGTGTCCGAGACCAGATTTGAACTCTGGTCCTCCTGAATCCAGGGCCAGTGCTCTATCCACTGTGCCACCTACCTGTCCCAATAATTGCTTTTCAATTGATTGCCCAATTGGAAGGACAAGGAGCAGTCTTTGTTCTTACATTTTTATGCATCTCACTGGATTTTCTGAAGTCTCTTCACTACAAAAATTTTGCACGTGGCATTGAAGGGAAAGAAGGCCGGCTTTTCTGTGGGGTGTGTGTGTGTGTGTGTGTGTGTGTGTGTGTTTCTTGTGAATCTTTAGGGAGTCATTTCTCAATCACAAAGCTGAGGTTTAATTACCTTGCTCCAGGTGCCCACTTTCCAGCCTGCACAGGGGCGCAGGTGACATCTCTTGGCAGGGTCAGGCCTCTGAACGGACTCACAGTCAGAGTCAACCTGAGTGCTGCATTCCACATGTCTCCAAAGAGCGCCTAAGCCACAGGTGGTGGAACACTGTGGGAGAGCAAAAGGAAGGGTTGACAAGAGCAAGAATACAATGACTACAACAATGTAAGCAGAAGTAACATTGAAACTGCTGGATTCAGATGAATGGTAGTGACTAATCTTGCCCCAAGAAACACTCACCTCTCCTCTCCACAGAGAGAGAGGGAGCTATGGAGTGCAATGGTACATAAGTTGTTATGTAAAGTTGCTTTCTTAGATGGCTTTGCCGTGTTAATATGGAGGACTTAATAAGGTTATCAGGAAATAATTGTTGTATAAAAAAAATCAGTCAATACTTAAAGAAATTAATTCAGACTATTCACTGCAAGATCAAATACTGAAGCTGAAGCTTAAATACATTAGTCACATAATGAAAAGATGGGGCTCATTGGAAAAGATGTTGGGAAATATTGAAGATAAGAGAAGAAGGGAATGGCAGAGGCTGAGATGGAAACAATGAACATGAGCTTGGCCAGTGGAGACAGTGTGAATAGAAGGGCTTGGTATGCCAAGGTAAAATGAAGAAGTTGCCTTACATGATCTCTAAGGTCCCTTCTACTTTTCACATTCTGTGACTCTGTGAATAAAGGGAGTCATCCAGCCATGGATTTCATGTGGAACTCTTTTGAGAAACCATGGATATGGGCCAACCATAAAGGAAGGTATTTTTTTTTTTAGTGAGGCAATTGGGGTTAAGTGACTTGCTCATGGTCACATAGCTAGGAAGTATTATGTGTCTGAGGCCGGATTTGAACTCAAGTCCTCCTGACTCCAGGGCAGGTGCTTTACTCACTGTACCACCTCCCTGCCCCCAGGAAGGTATTTCTAATAGATGCCTTTTTTACATCACATTTTTGGGGGTCACAAAGAATTCTTAGGTCAGGAAGTTGATAATAGATTCCAAATGTTAATCCTAGGAGACACTTTAGAGATCATCATGTTTGATCCCTTCATTTTCTAGGTGAGAAAACTGAAGCACAAAGAGATGAAATGGCTAGTTCAAGGTCACAAAAATAATCTATTGCTAGATCCTGCTATAAGGGCACAGAGAGGTGCAAAGATTTTCCCAGAGGAGCACAGCAATCTAGGATCACAGCAGAGAGTAGCTTCAAATTCACTGACAATTTCTACACTGTTGTCCATCCACTGTCTAGTTTCCACATTTCCCTGTGCCACATTTATACTGAAAACAAAAGCATGCTGTCTCTGGTGCTCTGAATCTTGTCCTTGCCGTGTGCATGAAGAAATATATTCAGTCAATTCCTCTTGACAGTTTTGATTTAGGTATCAACTGAAAAGAAAGAGCCAACAGGCAGGGATGGCACAAGGAAAGACATAGAATGTAATTCACAGCAAATGGAACTTACCAAATATCTTTCATATTAAATTTGGTACAAGTTAGGGGAATAGATGAGAGGAGATCTCCCCATTATGTTGATGCAATGAAGAAAAGAAGAAAGGGTGAATAATCACCACCCACCACTTCTGCTAATATTTAACAAGGAAAATGTAAGTTTAAATGGAAGCCAAAGTCATTGATATGGCTAGCGACCTGCACTCACTGATTTGATAGGTCAAGGAAAAGATGCTAACTTTTTCAGAAATGGAACTGATGTTGAGAGCTACATCAACATAATGATTTGCAAGGCCATGGACCATTCATTCCATACAACCATGCCCCACAACATGAATAGTTGTGTTTAACTGGATGACTTGAGGTGACTGTCTCAGATATGAGGAGAATCCCTTACAACTAATAGCCCATAATGAGAAATTCCAAATTGGATTTTGCCAGCTGGATGGTGATAATTCTTCCTGGCAGTTTTATCTCTTTTACTAATTACATCATTGCCTGGGAGTGACTAAATAAAGGATGGATCAAGCTTTCTTATGAAGAGGCAGACCTCCTACTTGTATTCTTCTGACACCTTGAGACAGGCTGTGTGAATTTGGGTCAATTTTCATTCTCCAGCCAGTGTCTAGGGTGAGCCATACCTCTTCGCTCCAGCATAACTGCTAAAATCTTGTCACACTCAAAATAATGACAAAGGGCAGAACCCATCCATCTCCATTGGGTCCCAAGGACTATAAGCTATTTAACAACAACAACAACAGCTAGCATGTACATTACTGTTTGCAAAGTGATTTATATGTTATTTCATTTGAGCCTCACAACTGTTCTGTGAGATAGATACCGTTATTATACCCACTTTACAGATGAGAAAACTGAGGTTAAGTGATTAGTCCAGGATCACATAGCTAGTAAGTACCTCAGGAATGATTTAAACTGAAGTTTTCCTAACTCCAAATCCATTCTTCTACCTACTGTGCCACCTAGCTGCTTGGAACTCAAAATAGTCATTAAGGCTAACAGGAACAGTTTCTTAGATCATTGTCATTAAGCATTAATTAACACTTCTTGAAAATATTCTGCCTCTTTCAAGTTGAATCAGTCACTTGAACACCAAAGACACACGGACTCTTAAGAGGGGACTCAGAACCATCCAGTCCAACTTGTTCCTGAATAGTAATCCCTACTATAACAGCCCTAACAAATTGCCATGTAGGCTATAAGTGAAGACTTCCAATGAAGAGAAACCTGCTACCCCTGGAAGTAGTCCATTCCACTTTCAGGTAGCTCTAACTGTTAGGAAGTCTCACCTTCAAACCTAAATCTCACTGCAGCTTCTCCTCATTGCTCCTAATGGAGCTGAGCCATATGAGTTTAATCTGTTTGGGGCATGACAACCTTCCCAAATTGGAAGGCAGCTATCATGTTCCCTCTCTAAACTAAAACACCCTATGTTGCTCCAGTAGACCCAGTTATGGCATGTTATCCAGTGCTCTCAATGTCTGTCATCCTATTCACCCTACTTACCCATGTCAGCTTATCTAAATCTCCTAAAAGGTAGTGCCCAGAACCACAGATAATTCTCTGGAGATGGCCTCACTGGGAGGAGAATAGCAGACCAAAGGGCGTGGGATCACAGATTTGGAGCTTTTAGGCCATGGAATACAAGACCCTCATTTCAGAGATGAGCAAAGTGAGGTCCAGGGAGGCTTATCCAAAGTCAAAAGGTCAGTTAGCAGTTAGGTGGTGATTTGATCCCAGGTCCTCTGTTGACAAGTCTATCAATCTATCAACTATACCACCTTGTCTCAAGTACCTTAGTAAATCCTTCATTTACCAATAAGGTATGTTACTTGTTGTGGACTCCAAGATTCTCTTAATGTTGTCTTGGATGACATTAAGTTTCTCAGTTGCCATATTCAACTATCGCTTCATGATGGTGTTTTAGTCTCTTAAAATCTCCAGATGCTTTTCAGAAAACTGTTTAGCCACACTTCCCACATCCTGAATTTGTGAAGTTATTTTTAGAACCCAAACTATAGGACTTTACATTTAGCCCTACTAAATTTCCACTTACTCAGCTGTGGTCCCAGCATACTGAGATCTTTTGAGATCCAAACTGTGATATTTAACATGTTAGCTATCTCTCCAAGTTGATGAAATTTGACAGGCCTGCCATCTATGCCTCATGGATAAAAATGGGGAATCATAGGGTCCAAGACAAATCCCTGAGGCTTTCACTGTTGCTTCACTTTTATCACTTGAAAAATGTGGGACAGACCTGGACAAGATCATCTCTAAGCTTGCTGGGTAGCTTGTAAGAAAGATTGGGGTAGACCTGAGTATGATATGACTTTAAAAGGAAAAACCATTTAGAAACAGCTAAAAAGAGTAACTATTTTATACAAATGAGGTGCAAGAGGAAGAATTGATACGGGAGAATTAGATGGGGGAGGAGGGCTAATAGTTCTGGTAACCTACTTTCATTGAGAATGGGTTAGAAAAATATAAAAGTCTTCTAAATTTAGAAGAAATAAAATGGTGAGAGAATAGGGAAGGGGGAGAGGACAAGGGAGGGATCTCTAAAGGGGAGGGTGAGGGAATACGTTATAGGGGGCTATAAAGGGTGTTTAGGGGCAGCTAGGTGGCCCAGTGGATACAGCAGCGGCCTTAAAGTCAGGAGGACCTGAGTTCAAATACAGCCTTAGACCAAACACTGGACTCTTACTAGCTGTGTGACCCTGGGCAAGCCACTTAACCCCAATAGCCTAAATTAAAAAAAAAAGAGTGTTTAGATTCATGGGAATGAGAGGATAGGGGAGGGATTCTTAGAGAGGGATAGGCTAAGTAATAGAAAGACAAGGTAGGGGGTAGAAGTCAAGTAGAGGAGTCAAGAGATATGCACAAACATAAAAACAAAGATCAGGAGTAGAATTTGTTTGGGAAAATATATGTCTATACATGTAAGTATATATGTATATATATATATCTATAGCTATAGAGAAATATATCCACGCTCAATTGTAGCCTTCTGAGGTAGAGGGGAAAAAAAGTGCACAGCAGAGAACAAAAGAAAACTTACAAGGAAGCAAAGAAAAAATGGACAGCTCTTGACACAATGTATAGTATTTATCATACAGGGTTTCTTGAAATGAAAATTTATCATTATATATTTTGAATCCTGTTTTGCTATGCACATGACATGCTTTTTTTACTTTCCTTGCTTTGTAATTAAGTTCCAATATTTAAGTTCATGATATATTTTTTCTTTTTTCTATTCTATACTTGTGTTCTGGTGTTTGAGTCTAAAATAAAATTCAATTTAAATAAAATGCTTCTACGACCACTCTGCATTTTAGTGATTCATCCATTCACTCAGTAGCACATTTATTATCTACTATATACAAAACACTTGTCATATTACTGGTATGTTTTGTCTTACTCCATGACCTAAGTTACAAGACAGTCTCTTCCTAGAATACAGCTAGAAGGAGCTCAGAAACTCACGATTTTTATATGTTCCAGAAGACAGAAGCTGATCTTTCAGCTTACTGGTGTGTCTTTTGCATGGTGAACAAAAGGCGCTAGGATCTTCTCCTCCTCTACCCTTATCTCTTTCCCTCAATCTCTTTCACAAAGGTAGAAATGTGGAACAGGGACACACATACTCTAGCATATATCAACTACTGTTTTATCTCTCCAAGTACCAGATGAACTATTGCCACTAATGTTAGCTGTCTGTCCACGCTCTCTCTCTCTCTCTCTCTCTCTCTCTCTTTCTGTCTCTCTCTCTCTCTCTGCTAGGCAATGGGGTAAAGTGACTTGCCCACAGTCACACAGCTAGTGAGTGTTAAGTGTCAGGCTGGATTGGAACTCAGGTCCTCCTGACTCCAGGGCCAGTGCTCTATCCACTGCGCCACCTAGCTGCCCCTTGATGGAATAGAGTGGAAAGAATATTGGATCTGGAGTCAGATTACCTACATTAAAAATCCTGATTCTCTAATACTACCATCACTTAATCCCCATGGGACTCTCAGTTTCCTCATCTGTAAAATGAGAGGGTTAGACAAGATTGTCTATGAGGTTCCTTTCACCTCTAATCTAGGATTCTAAAGGACCAATGAAATTGAGGTTCACTGTCTTCCCCTGAAGATCCCCCCGAAAGTCTGCCTCTCCTTTTGGCTCTTCAACAGCCTAGGTCCTAATTGTATTGTGCTCAGCACTAGGGAAGATTCAAAGTTAATTAAAACATCATTTCCCTCAGGGAATTTGCAATCTCATGGATGGAAACAGAATATACCTATATACCACCCCCACCACCACACACACAAATTATTTTACAGCCAACCAACTTACCAATTCCTGCTGCAACTGACTCAGAAGTCATGGATTCCTAGAAAGGGTCCTATCATGGGTTTTTCTATCTCAATTGTGCTTAACTGATCAGTTATAACTATATCTATATAAAAGTATAAAGTAGATTGGCCATCTGAAGACACATAGATTGTTTAGAAGGGAATCTGGAGGTAAGCTCCTTCATTTTATGGTAAACTGATGCCCAGAAAGATAAAGGGGGGGGGAGTCTCTTGAGATCTAAGGAGCCCCTCACAGAAAATGTTCCTTCTTTTGTAGTATGCTCCATCTGCCACCCATAATTGGAGTTGCAATTTTGCACCACATTTCCTAATTTTTCTAGATTGGATTGCATTTTTTAGTGAAATGGGCACTAGGAATGTTAAGTTTCCAGTTCTTCCCTACACATCTTCAGACCCATTTAAGGGATATGGTCTAAATACTGGCTCTAGAGTCAGAGAACTGAGTTCAAAGCCAATGTCTCTGGAACTACTTTGTATGACAAGGGAGTCTGTGTGACTATCTTGGGTGTTTAATTTCCCTGGACTTCAGTTTCCTCATTTGTAAAATGAAGAAGTTGTAGTCAATGGACCTGAAGGTCCCTTCTGGTTGTAGTTTGATAATTCTGTTAGCCATTGATCCAGATGAAACTTCTTACCTCACTCCAGTTGCCCACAATCCAGTAGGCGGTGCTTTGTGTTGGGTTGGGCACTTGGAGGTGCTTATAATTTGTGGCATTCAGCAAAAACCCCTCTGCAATCAGATTCTTTGCATCCTCCTCAGTTAAATCAGATTCAAGGCCTTGTGATGGAGTCTTGCTGCTTATGGGTTCTGTTTCCAGGTGGGTTGACAACTTCTCATGTGGCATTGGTTCAATTTTCCTTCCTGGCGGTAGTTGTAGGAGGGAAGGTTTTTTGGTGACTATTGCATTGACATTCATGGTGCCATATTTGAAAGTAGTGGGTTGTTGGCTGGTCCTTGTTGAAGGCAATAGCCCATCTGCTGTTGTGCTGAATGAATACCCTGTGGCAGGATCACTGAGGTATGGTGTTGGTTGAGCCTGGGGTGGCATACTTATGGCATTTGTAGCTGGAGACTGGTCTGTGAGGCTTTTGCTTTTGGTCCATGTTACAGGACCATCTGTGGTTTGGTCTACCTGCTGTTCATTGTCTTCTCCTGAGCCACTGTGGACTTCTATTTCTGGCCCTTCAGTCAAGTGGTCAAAAACGGGAGTCACTTGCAAAGTCATTGGGCTTGTGGTGAATGGCAACACAGGAGTGACATCTGTTTTGACCACAAAGTCCACTTTAGAGGTGGATGTCATTTCTGAATGGGAAATGTTCCCATTGCTAGTTATAATTCTGCTTATTGTCTGGGTACTCACAGACCCAGTAGCAGGATTTGACTGTGATGTGCTTTGAGTGGGATCAGTGGAAAGACGAGTATCTGGCTCAGAGGGGATTGAATTATTTTGCAATTTTCTTGCTGGGTCTTGATCTTTGGAAGACATGGTAGGACTTGTGCTAATACTTGTCATAGTGCTCAGGCTCACAGATTCAGGCATTATGGTTGTAGTCAGAACTCTGGGACTAGGTGTAGGGGGAGGGATAGGTCTTGAGGGGGTTGACTTAGGTGTGGGTAGAGGTCTCCCGTTGGAAATTGGTCCTCTCTTGGGTTTCAGAGGAGGGATTAGTAGCCGCCGGCCAGAAGGACACTGTTGTAGACCACACAGAGCTCGACTATTGGGCTTCTTTGTGAAGTCACATGGCTCATCATTGTTCTTGGCACAAGTGACATTTCGAGTCCTCACTCCTCCACCACAGGAAACAGTACACTGAAAAAAGAAAGTCAATAGTTATTCTGGGTGAGAAAAGAAACCTGATCCTCATTACTAGGACCTCAAAGAAATCATTGAAAGCCTAATAGAAATTGGGCAGCATGCTTAAAAGATATTTTAACTACAGCTGTCCAATAATGGAGTAAGCTGTCTAGTAAAGGAGTGATCACCCTATTCAGGGAAGTGTCTAAACAGACCCTAACCAACCATGTATCAGAAATACCAAGGAGGGAGTTCCAATATTGGGGTAGAGAAGGGGGAGGAAGATTGGACTAAATAGATGACTTCTAAGGTCCTTTCCAATTCTAGGTTGCTATGATTCTATGATTTTGTGACTTGATTCTGAATTCCTGATCAAGTCAAAACGTTCAATCCATTCCAACAAGTATGTATAATGAGTGACCCAAATATACCCATTACTGTTCTAGATCTGCCTGTTCTTTTCATTGAATTGGCCAGTAATCTGATTGAATTGCCTGCATTGATTGGTGTCATATAGACATTACCATGGGCCAATGAATGGAGATGTGATTAGTGTAGCAAATGTGGGAGGATCTCCAGTATTGTTTTTATGGGCTATAGAGAACTTTCATGGCCTGAAAAATGTTGAAAATGAATGTGTAGCAGGTTGCCTTACTCTTCAATTCCTCAGTGACATGGGGAGATCACATTTATCTCCCAGGATAAAAACTTTATCTAACAATCAGAGATAATGTAGTCTCAAGGGGCTTGAGAACCTATGCAGAAATAGTGGCTCCATTATGTGGAGTGTGGAAATGATCAAAGCTGGAGGAAAAGCTGTAGGCAAGATGAAGAATCACTTTTCAGAGAAAGGAATCAACAGCATTTGGCAATGTAAGTAAAAACAAATCAGACTAAACTGAAGAGATTTGATTTAAGGTGGTATTTTTGCTCTGAGTTTTAACAATGGTGGTCCTGAGTTAACAAATATAGCGTAATGATATCAACCCACAGCATAGTATAAGAATCTTTTGAAGTCACAGCCACATGCCCATAGACCTGGGAGGGATAGTGATAAATCACCTCAGTGGTCCATCTCTAGTCCAGTGCCTAGCACAGTGCCCAATACATAGTAGATGTTTAATAAATTCTTGTTGATTAATGGATGGATCTCTCTTTGCTTTTATGGAGGACTGCAACCAAGTCATTCAAAAAATATAGTACATACCTTGTGCTGAAAAAAAAACAGCCTCTTTTTAAAAAAGAAATTCTATTGTTTCTCTTGATAATACCTTTATAGGTAAAGTTTTTTCATTGTCCTACAGGGAGAGTTAAGCTCTTCATATTGCAATTTAAACAAATCTTGGCCTCGGAAAATACAGAAAACAGCCACGTGCCTTGGAGAGTATTCTTTCATATACTTGGAAGAGTGTTTACTAAGAAGAGTGGAAATAACTTCAAGTAAACCATGCCAAGTTTCTTAGGTTATGAGACGGCTTTGCATAGTTTTGAGGCATGTTAGGCCACCACTATTGCTGCCTTCTTTTTCCTATGGAAATGGTTAAAGTTATACCCTACAGGCAAACACCATTGCCTAGGGGATTAGTTGAAGCACGTGCAAGAATGAGTTCAGGGAAAGTGCTTAACTAAATCAACAATAGACATTCACAACATTTGTACTGGCCATCTGGGGCTCCAGACTTTCAGATGTTTGGAAACATCACACACACACACACACACACACACCACACACACACACACACACACACCCCTTTTTAAACCAATTTTCAAAAGTTTCATCACTGATGTCTCCTTTCTCTGAATTCCAGTTATGTGTACCACATAATTTGCTACTTGAATAAATATTTGGAGAATACTTAGATTCTTAGAGTAGATAAAGACCTAAGATATTATTTAGTCTGACTCTTACCCTTTCATTTTTCTTGAGATATTTCATATATGTGAATCACGTCTGCCTAACTAAATGTATGCTTCCCAAGGTCGGTATAATGATAATAATTATTATTAATAATAGATGACATTTTTATAAGGCCTTATAATTTTCAAAATACTTCACATTTCATTATCCCATTTGAGTCTACAACAATCCCTTGAAGTGTATACACCAAATATTTTTGTTCCTATTTTGCAAGTGAGGAAAATGAATCTCAGAACGTTAAGTAAATATCAGACTGGAAGTTAGTAATAGAGCCAAGAAATTAGATTTATTTTGTATCATCAGCGGTGCCTAGTTTAGTGCTATACAAACAATATACTTCTAATAGGCAGTTAAGTGATGCACTGGATAAAATGTTGGACTTGGAGTCAAGAAGGTCTGAGTTTGAATCATGCCTCGGGCACTTACTAGATCTGTGATCCTAAGCAAGCCATTTAACTTCTCTTTTTCAGTTTCCTCAACTACAAAATGGGAACAATGATAGCAACTACCTTACAGGGTTTTGTGAGGATCAAACGAGATAACATATATTCAGTACTTTGTAAACTTTTAAAGCACTGTATAAAATTTAGTTTGTTATGATTATTAAATATGCTTTGTGTTAACTTATTGACTTGACATACCTGTTATTACTTGATGAAATCAAGCTCCTTTAACTTCCCCATTACCATCACAGAATTTCTCTCTAGTTTTACCCTTCCAGTTCACTTTTCCTCCTATGCTTGACGATGAGTGTCCCAGATCTTGGCCAAAGTTAACCCTTGTAGGAATCTTTTGATCCTATCCTCTTCTCCCTCCTTTGAGTTCATGCTCCACCAATCTTTTGTCTCTCCCTCTTTAATCTCTATTCAATCCCAACCTTGAAACACCATGATTTTAGAAGAATTCAAACTATAAGTGACCCAATAAGTAACCAACACACATGCTTGTTTCCTAGCCAAAAAAATAAAAACAATAACAGCAAAAACTCCCTTGACCCCATTATACCTTCAAGATAACCATTCTCTCTTCTATCTTCTTCCACCAATCAGGAGGCACAGTTGATAGAGTGATAGGCTTGAAGTTCCAAAAATCTAAGTTCAAATCCAAACTCAGAAACTTACTAGCTGTATAACCTTGGGTGAGTCGCTTAACCTCTGTTTGCCTCAGTTTCCTCATCTATAAAATGGGGATAATAAAATTACCTACTATCTTAGAGTTACTGTGAGGATCAAATGATTGCTAACTCTATTTCCTTTTTACTCATTCACTCCTCACCCCTTTAGCGTCTGGCAAATGTTGGTAAAATGTCTATCCATGGTAGCTGCTCTTAAAAGTCACTGATGATCTTCTTAATATCAGTCTAATGGCCTTTTAAAAAATTCTTTTGGACTTCTCCATAACATTAGACACTCTTGACTTTTCACTCATTGTTTGATACTTTTTCCTTTTTTTTTTAACTTCTACAACCATGTACAATCTGGTTCTCCTATTTCTCTGATCTATGCAAATGCTTCCAGATTTATATATCTAGTCTAGTCTGATCTCTCTTCATTTGGATGTACTACTAGTACCTCAAACTCATTCTATCCCAAACCATCACTTCCCTCTCTTCTGCTCCATAACATGTTCTTTTGACTAATTTTGCTATTTCTGTTAATGACAGTTTCAAATTTGTGTAACGAGGAGAGTGCTCATTCCCTTAGTTACAAAAACTTGAAATTATGTGGTCATTTTGAATTCTCTATTTTCTCATTCCCAACATTGAGTCATCTGCCCAAGTCTATAATGTCGACTTCCAAAATGTCTCTCACATCTGTTCCCCATATTTCCATTCTTATCACTGTCAATCACATGGATGTCATGCCGGCAACACCATGTCCTAAACTGAAATAATTGCCCACTTTGAAACCAGTTCCTCCCCCTGACTTTTCCTATTTCTTTACCATAGTTCTTACAACCCAAATACTGCCTCCTCTGTGAAGTCTTCCCTAATCACTTCCAACCAGACACAGCCTCCAGAAGGCAGGATGTTGCAGTGGAAAGAATGAATGCTACATCTGGAGACAGGGTATCTTGGTTCAAACCCAGTTGTTCCCACGTGTGTGACTTTGGGCTAGTCACTTAACTACCCTGGGCCTCAGTTTCCTCATCTATAAAATAAGAGCATTGGATTAGATAGCTTATAAGATCCTTTTCAGCTCAAGTTCTATAATCCTGAAAATCGGTCCCTTTTCTGTTATCCCATGTCATTTCATTGTATCTCTCTCATGACATTCTTTACATTCTATACTGTTGTCCTAGTTTTGTGTGCTTGTGTTATTCATCTAGACCAATTCTTTTGTGCCATGAACTGCGTTGGCATTCTAATGAAGTCTATGGACGCCTTCTCAGAATAATGCTTTTAAATGCATAAAACAAGTACAAAGGATTTACAAAGACAACTATGGAAATACTGAAATACTTATCAAAGTATCAAAAAACCAAAAAGCAAGACCTCAGGCTAAGAAACCTTGGTTTAGACTCTTAGCTCTTTGAGAGTACTCTGCTATGTCTTGCTCACTTTTGCCTAAGTAGTTAGTTCAGCACCTGGCACATAATAAAGAAATGAAATGTGAACTGAATTGAATGGAAAGCTTGTTACCATGGGGGGAATATAATAAGAAAATGAACATTTTCATTTGAGTTCAATTTCACCCATTTTCTCACTTTACATCTTTCAACTACCTTCTCAGGGAAAAAAATGATTAGTGAGGTAGGTTAGTAAAGGTTAGTAAACATAATTTTGTAGTTTACTAGTCAAGCCCTAGTTAATACAAAGTAGTAGAAAAATGCAAAAAGAAGGACCCAAGGATGGAGGGGGAGTTTATTTATACCAGAACAGGGTTCCAAAGGGTACAGTGAAAGTGATGAGCACAGTTAGAAAAATCAATGGAGAGAAGAGAAAGCATGAAAGTTTATTTGTGGAGGTAGCAGGTCAAAAAGGGTATCTGCTTCTGCCAATAATTATAAGTTATGGACAGCAGCTATTAGAGGAGAAGGAGGTTGGGATATAAGTTCAAGAGATACACTAGTCACTGATAGGACTGAGGATACAGAG